AATATAAAAAAGGCTCCGGATATCAAATTAGCTTTTATAGTAAATATATCACACGAATAGGTGCTAATATTAAAAAAGTTAAATACAATGAAGATTGGACTAAAAATTCAACTAAAGTTGAAATTCCAAAAGATCAAGACTTAATTGATCAACACAATTAAAGCGAAACAGTAGATCTAACAATTAAAGAATCTTTATCTTCCATGACAAATACTTTTGAGTTATCTAACTTGTCTGAAGTGAATGCAACTGATTCAGAAATTAATAGTGAAAAAGATTCTGAATTGGATAATATTAACATGTAAGAGCCTGAATCAGGAGCTATTAATACGAAAGAGCCTTTTATAAGATTGCTAAAAGTTTATAAAATAAAATTATGTATAAATATATGAAATATTGCCTTTTTGTGTGTATATCCAAGTTCTCCAAATTGTTGTAAGACTAATATTACATCCCAACCAAAGTTCCATCTTGGATTTACCAGTCAGGTTTTTCTTTCATTAAAACTTGAAGATAATTTATATCATTCATGTTTAAAGAATGTGGTTTTCCTGAAAGCAATAGAAGTTTTTCAATACAACCATATTTTTGAAAATGCACAAGAACCCGACTTATAGAAGACCTGCTAACATCTAAGTGTTTTGCAATTTTAGAGTTGAAAGGCCTTCTAAATAATTTGCCAGCGAATGTGGTTTGAAAATATCATATGGGGTCTTTGCATTGAAAATGACCTTACGGTATCATGTACCGTAAAGTCATTTTCAAGGCAAAGACCCCACCCATATTTTTTGAATTCAACAAGAGATATGCATAATTTTTTATTTATATTAGCCACCTGATTTTAATTACATATATATTACAGTACAGTATTATATCAATTTTTATTGAATTTATTATGCCAAAAAAATTACCGGCCGAAAATTTTTTTCGGCTAATTTTTTATAGATGTTCCAGGAATAATGAAAACAGCTGTAAAAACTATTTGATCATTGTTAAAAATATGGGCAAATCTATTGTCGCCAGTAGTTAAAAAAATCAAAATTTTTTAATCAAAATAACTCAAAATTATGTCTATAAAATCAAGTTCCATGGCTTAACAAAAAAATATTCCTTGCATAATTTTACTATGTATTATAATCTTTCTAATCCTAAATACAATTATAAATAAAATCCAGGCACTATCACATCACCGCCTGCGACAAATAGATTATTTCATTAAGTTAAATAAAAATTTAAATTTAATAAAAATTTTTTTTTAAAAAACTCTATTAATTAAAATATAGGTTTTGATAAACAAATGAGCGAAATTTTTAAAACCGTTAACACGTAATTTACAGGGAGATACAATTTGAGGTTTAAAAATCTTATATGAAACGATTATAAAAAATTATCAAATTTCAAATTGCATCTTCTCTGTAAGTTACATATTAACTGGTTTAAAAAATTTGCTTGATTACTTAACAGAACTTGTATTTTAGGCCAATACGTAGAGCATTTTTTTTTTATATTAATAATTTTTGTTAAAATTTATACGTAGCAATTTACTATAGATCATCGTGTTCATTACACAAAAAATTATATATTTAAAACGAAATCAGCCACTAGAGCCAGCACGAACAAGCTTAGTAAATATTGCGACCTTATTAATATTCTTAAGACGCATTCCTAAGATATGTAAAGACATTTTTTTATCAGTTATAGATATTTTTCAGCCTCAAAAGGATGATCAGATATATTTTTTTGATATGCACAATCTATAAAATGCCCATCATTCGTGACGCAGATAATATCTTGTTTATTATTTGAATTTGACTAGATATGCTAAAAAAAATACTAAGTACAAAAATTCGTACTGATACAGACAATTTATCAAGTAATATGCTATCTCAAAGCAAATTTTTTTTAGCTATATGATATAATCATACTGGAATTCAAATGCATTACTAATTTTTTCAGGACTTATTATTTCTGTTTTAAACTTCCTATTGCTTTTATAAGTGCTGTATTATTATTATCCAGTCTTTCAACAAGTGCTGCATTATTATTATTCAGCGTGGAAATGAGGTTCCTTTGGTTCCCTTCAATTCTTTTAACAAGTGCTGCATTATTATCTTTCAGCATGGAAAGGTTCCTATCAATTTTTTCAACAGCTAGTGATAAATTAGAAACCGCATTCAGCACTAAAAGATGTTCTGCAGGTCGTAGCTTTTTATCTTCCAACTCAGCACAATCTTGAAGCAAATAGTTCAACCCGGAGAAGTCCCTAACATTAAATTTCAGTAAAACATCTGGATCACTTATTCTTTTCTTCACCTTATTCCAAGCATTTGCAGTAAAATACAAATGAATATGAGCGTGACACTCCTGTGCATATTTATTTTGTGACTGTCCAGTTTCCCATAACCCATAATTAATTGCTATAGAATAGAAGTCTAATTTCTGACGTTTACTCAGTAAGTCATCCCAAAATGGTTTATGTTGTACCAAAGTTTTGTTAGTATAATGTTTATGCTTTCTACTATTTTCTGGTCATGGGACCAATAATAATTCTCGAAGTGGTTCTCTTCATAACAATACAACGTACTCTCCATTGCTTAGTTCATTCACGATAAGCTTTATAGCAAAATAAAAATTGCATTTAGTTTGTCTTCCATCTCTAGTTACCACATCTACTTTACAAATAATGTCAGGATGATCATCTAAATCTACAAAATCAAGATTAAATAGTGGGACTCTGTTGAATAAGTACCATTGGAAGAATAAATAGTTTTACATTCATACTCACAGCACATTTCCTTGGAATTTTTACATTTACCGGTAGGAAAGTATGGACATAGAACAAATGCTTTGTCCTTTTCTGTTTCTTTATAATCTACGATAAATGGTGCTTCATCCTCAGGTGAAACTTTAAGGCGTGTATTTGTAATGTATTGTCTAGCAACATTAATCGCTTTGGTAAAATCATACATTTTCTGGTTCTGGAGATAAACGTTGAACCACAATGAAGTGTCAAGACAAATTTGAAAACGTGCTTTTTCTTCTGAGAAACTAACTACTAGATGATATGATTGCTTTAATTTAGGTGTTAAACAACTTAAAAGACGATTTGAAGCCTCAGCAAGTTTAGATGGGTCAAGGCTAGATTTCAAAGTGAAGTATGGTTCGTTTAAATTAGGGTGTGCAAAAAAAAGCCCGTATGATTTTGGAATTTTTAAGGGCCGTAAAAATAGGGATACACAATTAATGCAT